GACCATTTTACTTGAATTAATAATCCCAAGTAATAAAATTCGTTCTACTCCACCAATAGTGAATAACGGAATTATTTTTATAAAACTTTATAGCCAATATATATATATAAATAGATAAATAATTTTTTATATATTAATATATAAGATAGCTTCTCCTCGGCCTAATTCTCCATCGGTCGAGACCTGCCTGAGCATGGCAGATTAACATGTGGCTGAGACGAGTTTTTAAACTTATTTTCGTCTACTTAAAAACTTCCAAGCATTTAATAATATTATATATATATATATATATATATATATGCATTCATTTATCTGGCTTAATAATACTGAGTGTTAAAAGTCGTTGTGCTGAACCTATAGTGAATAGAAGAGTTTTACTCTTAATCTCTTACCCATCTTATGCAACATCTTCCAGACTTCAGAGTATCACCAATATTAGTATTCACTATTGACATATATATATATATATATTTATTTATTTATTCATTTATTTATAAATATGACCTTTAGCACTCGGGATTATTATGCCAAATAAATAAGTATATAAACAAAATAGATAAATAAATATGCGGATCAAGCATGATAATTTGTGTGATATTTACACATTTGGACGATGTACTTGATACTGCGCCATGTTTACGAGTTTATTTTAGCTAAATGTGACCAAGTCATGCTCCGGCAGATCTCGACTGACGGAGAATCGTGCCGAGGAGAGGCCATCTTCTCATGCGTCCACTTGCCTTTCAGGCTCACTGAGCCTTGTGAGCTGGTGTTCATTGCCGCAATCTCGCATGCTCGAGGGAACATTGAAGCATGAGTGACATTATGCAAAGGTTTAAAGTTGCAATCCGCTTAACTGGTTTCCACGCCCAAAAAACATGACACGAAAAATGGGAAACCTTTATCAAGCCCCAGGTTGACATAATTCAACATGACAGAATGCAAAAGCTATCCAAATGGTGTGTCTGTTGGACTAGGCTACATGTGGGGTTATGCCTGGCGCCAAGAAAACGCTGAACAAAAACTCTTGTATTCGTGTGTGTTTATGTGAATGCCTGTATGAATCTAGGCATTCCAGTATATTGGCCAAATTGTGTACTTAGCCCGTAGGCAGGCATCTGCTTGATTTTGTGCACTTGTGCCCACATTTGTGTGTTCCTATGCTAGTGTCGGTGTGTACATTTGTACTTGTACTTGCCCTATTAGGTATGTATCTGTGTGTGTGTGTGTGTGTGTGTGTGTGTTATAGAACGACAGAGAAAGATCTATAACTCGAAGAAGAGTTGAATGAGATCAACTATGCTACAATACCTATTAATTATGGTGAAACTACATGAAATCCAGGTTATCTCAGCCCTATCAACACCGCCACCAACTGTATTACTGGATTCCTTCGTTTCCCGATTTATTTTTTCCCCCTCTTTCTCCCCATCTGTCAGACGCTTAGTAGCTCTCTCTCTATTTCACCCAGTTAATCTGCCCCCGCCTCTTACTCTGGTTGTCTCCCGGCTTATCCACATCCCCTCAAGGGGCCACGCCGATTTGGGACTCGTCACAAAAGTTGCCCCTATCCCAACTAGTGCGTCAGTGGCTTAGTCTCGAGTCCGAATCCGCCGTTGGCCGGCGTGTGTCTAGTTGGCATGTACACTGACCAGGTGAGGGACTGGGAGAATTGAAGAGTACAGAGGGGCTGGCAAGCAGCCGGGGAGTAGTGAGCCAATCTGAGCCTAATTTCTGCTCTGATTATTATCTGAAGCAGTAGAGCAGACTGTCTATTAGGACGAGAGCATACATAGTTGGGTACTAAGGCAGGTAGGGTCGACGAGTGGCTGTATCGAGAATGAAGTGAAGCGAGAGAAGACGATGTGCTCAAGGGCGACGGGGGAGCCAGGGGGTTAGAGACGGGAGCCTTGTGATGATTACTCTGATAATGCTAGTGATTGAGGTGGAAACACAAGAAAATCGGGGCACTGGCTTCACTTTGAAGAGGAAGGCAGGCAAAGACAGACGGCGAAAGAGCAAAAGCACAGACAGACTGGCGCAAAGACAAATAGAGTTGGGCAAATTGCAGCCACGGCCTACATGGATGAGGTGATAAACCTGAAGCAAAAAAGTTCAGCCAAAGCGGATTTTGACGACCACTTCAGCCGCAAATTTGGTAATTTAGGTAGCAGTTACATTGTTCATAAAGAATCGGGTCGAAAAATGATAGTTGGCAGATTGGGACGGGATCATGAATGGATCTTCTGTAGACACCAGAGTCAACTGAAGTGGCCTAGGATCACAGAAAGCCAATTGATGCCTTGGAATTCCACTCTGCTTGCTCAAAGGTGGACTAAATAATATATTATAAAATTACTGTTCTCCTGAAAATATCTCTTTTAACTTTTATTTATTTAAATGTATGACCACATGAAATATTGGAAATTTGACATTACCTCAAGACCCTTACTTTTCGGTCTTAACGTCACCTCTCCTATGGGATTCGCACCAGAGAGATGTGAGTGTCACGCGACAACGTAGGGATTGCTCAACGCAGTGGCTCACAAAGCAGATGCGAGCCTCACGGCAAGTCAGACCTTTCAGATCAGAGTCGTTCGAAGTCCTTTGAAGTGAAATAAAGCCTGATAGTTGAGCATCCTAAAATGTATCCTTGTAAGTTTAGGTTAACACAGGCCTTAAAACGCCATATATGCGAAAAAAAGTTGGGTTTCGAGAAATCTATTGTTTCATAATTGTGAGCTTACTTCCATTTCAAGTGAAAGTGTTGGGTGAAGAGATTCGAAAGTCGGTTCCACCAGAAGACGACTCGTTAGTTTGAATTTTGTTGTGACGATGTTACCTCGCTCTGATGATGTCCGTCATATGACGGAATCGAAGGAGATTGCCTCAGAAATAACGTCAGCATGAATCTTCCAATAAACCCAAACGACAACGGGTCAAGAGGAATCCGCCGTCGTCTTCTGGTGAAACCGACCTTCGAATCTCTTCATCAAACACTTTCACTGGTTCGGGTTAATTTACACATTTTTCGTTACAAGTAGCTTCTCGAGACTCCCAGCAAATCAGGTTTATGAGACGCGTTCATCCTATTTCGTTTAAGGTGATGAAGAACTGGTAGTTAAATTTTCCCACAATCATATGAGTGGAAATGACTTTCCAATTCCATTTCACAAGGCCTTGATTTCTCAATAGATATTCTCATCCCGGCAAGAGTAGACTGAAGTTTCTACCTCGCCTGAACTGGTCTCATCCGCACCCCAAGGGGAACTCGAACCATGACTGTGCAGCATATAATCGCGACACGTTAATCACTACGCCCCGCTGTCACGAGTCCCCCTCGGTAACAGGGCAGATGCGCTTTTCAAGGGAGGTCAGCCATTTTCCCATATCACCTTCTGTGCTGGGATTGTCGATGAAACAAACTTATATTTGCTATAGTCATCGACGAGACTACTCATTTGTGAGACGCTTTGAGACGTCACCCTTCGGTTCGGCTAATTTCCATAATGACATATAGTCCATTACAAATTGGAAGCTTTCTTGATTTGCAGTAAGCTGTACGTCGTTATGGAAGTGACTTCCAGCAAAGTTGCTGTTTGCCATTTATGGCATTTATCGCCTCAAGGGAGGAGGCCATCTCAGAGACTGTAAATGAATGGGCATCATTTACTTTATTATGAAAAATTTTACTTCGTGAAAGGGCATGGTGAAAAGTTTCGTATGTCGATCTCACCAAAAGACGAAAGTACAGCTATTTGGCTTCAAAATGGTCTTCTGGCAAGTGCAGTCCACAAGACATCCTCCCTTGTCGCTGGCGAAAACGGGCTGAGCTTTCGTCCATCATAAGGTGGACATCATCAAAGCTGGAACTCAGTCCTGTAAAATTGTCACGTTACCAAGCAATGAGTCAACCAGACTATCCGGCTCTATCTTACCTCTCATATATACTCATAACTAAAAAAAAATGAAGACATAGATAAATAAAGAATGGTTCTGTCAGTGTTAAGGTGAGAGTTTTACAAGAATGAGGTACAGCTCTGATGATGTCCATCATTTACTGGACGAAAGCTCAGTCCGTTTTCACCCAAAATAAGGGAGGCTGTCTCGTGGACTGCGTCAATTTGAGCATCGTATTAAAGCCAACCGGCTGCAGAACAATGCAAATGCGACCTTCATATTTCTTCTTCATGCACTTGCATACGAAACGAAAGTCTCTCCAGCAATCCCATCCATTATGTGCATAACGGACATCGTCAGAACCGGAATTCAGTCTTGCAGAAGTATCAATCTAATTTTTCATTTAAAGGCAGATGTTCGAGACGACATGTTGACCTATTAAATGAACTGTTTTCATCCTATTTAGTTTAACGTTATGAAGGAATGATAGTTTAAATTTCCCATGATCGTATGAGCAACCTCCCGTTTCCACTAAATCTCACATAAATTGTTTCCTCAAGGATATGCTCATAAAGGGCGGACTACAATTTCGACCTGGCAAGGCTGTGTAATAGTTAAGGGAAACTGGAGGCCTACTTACATGATTGTGGGCAAATTCAACTATCCTTCGTTGAGCATCTTAGACGAAATAGGATAAAAACATCTCTTATATCAGATCTATTAGTAGTCTCGAAAAACTACTAATAAAATCATAAAAAAAGTAGTCTAGTCCATTGCTATAGCAAATTCAAATTGATTACTTTGACAATCCCATTGCATAAATGTGATATGGAAAAGGCCTAGGCTTTCTTGAAATTTACATCTGCCCTGTGATCCAAAGTTACTCGTGGCAATCTAGCGTGGTGGCTAGAAGGCCGAGAGTGTAAGCTGTACTACCACAAACCGAGTTCAAGTCCCACTGTAGGTGGTAAGGAGAGCAGTTCATGTAAGTTTGAAACTTCAGTCAACTTCTGCCTGGGTGAGAACACTTTTTTAGAAGCAAGGCCATGCGAAATTCCTTGGAAACATGGAGCCTACTCATTAGATTCCTTCATCACCTTAAACCAAATAGGGTGAATGCAAATCTTAACTCAACTTTAATTTGGCACAAAGTCAAGAAGCATACTCCAATTCGAATCCCTTCATCATGCACTTTTACACTAAATGAAGGTCTCCACAACAATGTCATCTCAAAGGATTCATTGGAACCCATCTCCTCCTCGTAGTTACTATTTGTATATACAACCAAGTTTTCCGAATTTGGTTGCATTTAGCAAAATTCTTTAGGCTTGACTGTGAGTACCTTGGGTAAAATTAGTGTAGAACAATGCTAAGCTTATCCAATGCCGACCAATTGGCTTAGGATCAAATCTTCAGATGTTGAACAAATAGGAGATGTATTCACCCAATTTCGTTTAAGGTGATGAAGGGCTGGTAGAAGAAGAATCTTCCCACAATGATATGAGTTGAGCTGACGTTTTCATTGAATTTCACATAGCCTTGTTTTCCCAAAAGTTGTTCTCCTCCCGGCTGAAGTGGACTGCAGTTTCGACCTCGCATCGGTCTTATCAACACCCTCAGCGGGAGTCGAACCGTGACAGTGCAGAATGGGAGCTTGACCAGTTAACCACTCAACTACACTGCCACGAGCGACTTTTGGTCACAGGGCAACTGTGAATTTTTCAAGGAAGGCTAGGTTTTTTTGCCATATCATATTCTTTTGTTGGAATTGTCGATGAAGCAAACATATATCTGTTATAATAATCGACTAATATACTTTATTTTTCAAATTAAGTATTGTTTTCGTGACTACCAGTAAATCAGTAATATGGGATGTATTCAGCCAATTTCGTTTAAGCTGATGAAGGATTGGTAGAAGAAGACTATCATTGTGGAAAATTTTTCTTCTACCAGTCCTTCATCAGCTTAAACGAAATTGGCTGAATACATCCCATATTACTGATTTACTGGTAGTCACGAAAACAATACTTAATTCGAAGAACAAATAGGACTTTGGTACCGAGCGAGCTAATACAATTAGGAAAACTTACTGAATGTTTATCCTCAGTTCATACCGTCAAGTAACCATGCAAAACTCCATTTTCTTATGCCTCGTTAGTCTGTTTCCAATTGGCTGTTGTTTAATGCTGTTCTCTTCCACCTGGCATGAAGATATGTCTTATACTTTTTAGTGAAGAAGTTGATCAAAATAAGCCCTTCTCCCGACATATCAAGACAATGCAGAGTTAGGCTCTAAACCGCAAGGTTTTGATAGAGCAGCTGAGGTAGCATTTCATCGCCAGAAGAACGTTTGTTGTGCCAGCATCTCTTCGTGTCGACAAGACAAGACAAGACAACAACCACATTTGAGTCTGTTGAATTGCGCAAAAACAAATCTAATTATTGTGAATCCGGTAACCAAAAGACTGGTCAGTCAAGTACTCAGGAAAGAGGCTCTAAGCTGAAACAGTAAAATGGACTGAAAATTTGTAAACCTTATCCTTCTGGCGGCTTATATTGATATCCATAATAATGAAGCCTATTTCTTCGAAGTCGGTACATGTCATGCAGTACAAAATAGCAGATATAAACATAAATAAAAAATTTTCCCTTTAAACTTTATCCTCCATTTTTTGTTTATAAGTAGGGTTGGTCTCTATGTTTGCCAAACTAGACTCATCTTCTTGCTATAACAGAGGAAAGCCGATCAGACACCGTTCTTGAAGTTCCGTAAACTTGCATGCCTTGGTTAACACAAATGTTAGCCATTCATAAGGCAATTCCAGCCGATTAATTCTATCTTCTGTTTAGACTATGCTGTCAACAGCGTTTCAATTTGAGTTTTCGACTCAAGCTTTTAGTACATCTCAGTAGATATCATCCGATTTTCACGTCTCAATACACCTTCAACAGATCCCATTAGATCTCAGCAGAAGCAAGAGCTCTATTTTTCAGATAACAACTATGCAAGTTTGAGGGTAAGTTAATTGTTTTGCGAATACGACTGATTTCATTTGGTCTGTTGATAAACCATTCTCATGAATACACAGCCGTCTAATGGTAGAGTGGATCTTTAGAAGAACCAATGCATCATACGAGAAGACCAGTCTCAACGGTTTTATGTGATCATGAGTGGTCACGACGAAATTTTGCATGGAACTTCACTCTGGCCTCCTTAACATTAAGATAAAAGGGTACTTTGTATATCACCTGTTTCTTCATCATCCTCTCATCAGCCGCCTATCTTT